ATCCTTCAGAATTCAATTAATTAAAAATCCCGAATGATATGCCAATGGCCGAATATTTTCTAACAAATATTTGTTTATATATTTTACGCACAACCGCGATTTGTTATGTCGTATGAAGAACTGGTTTGTTATCAAAGAATAACAATTTGCTGTAATTGTTATCTCTGGTGCCTATTGATGTCGTTATTGTTTTGTTACAATGCCATATATTGAAAAGGAAATTAGCTGCGATATTATAAATATCTAGTAAAGCTATCCTTAGTGCCACAAAAATCGTTTGTACTCTGCGTATTTTCCTATGACAAGATTCTATACGGTGTTATAAAAGTAGGTAACTGATATACACTGATATAGTGATAATGATGAAATTCGCTCATTGATAAATAAATGCGGTGTAATTAGATATGGGATCCCATCCCGTCGGGAGCTGGTGGTTTGTTTTAAATTTTTCAATTAAAAAAAAATATATTTTTTTAATTTTTGAATAATATGATTTTGAATAATAGTATATTAAGAGTTGATTTCAAATTTAAACATATAGATTAATAAAAGCGTAATCAGGGAGGTTTCGTATTTTTAATGAGTGAGATAGAAAATTTAGCTAACAAATATGAGTTATTTCAACAATAAGAAATGCATGAAGATTTTAAAAGAGCTTATTATATCACACCAGCACGAGCCAAAAGCTTGCACTCTTCTTAAGATAAAAGCATTAGTATTCTCTTGTATTTTCTATGTTCAATACCATCGCAATGCTTAATTCAGATGGTTCGTATGAGCACTCTGCACACGAGGAGCTCGATGGGGCAGTGGCTAGCGCGCTCTGTCTGCGACACGGTTATTAAGCAACTTTCGTGATGGCTGGTCATAGGACGGGTGACCAAATATTAAATAAGTAGCTTGGTTGTACCCACCTATTAATACCCACCGATTCGAACTGGGCCCGCGCGGTGGATCATGGCCCATTCTGGCTATTCGATTCGCTTTGATTCCTAGGAAAGGCCTGAGCCAAAACAGTGGAAACATTAATAGGTTGATGATATATCAGCACTAGAACATGTCTTTCTATTTATCAGAAACATTATTTTAAATCGTCATTGAAAAGTGTAGCATCGCTTGCATAATAGATAGACCTCGTGCATAAATTCATTGGAATAATCGTGAAATAATTTACGGTAGATTGGAAGCTCATTTGTAACTGTCACAACACTAGATTATTGGTTTATACCTACGTCAAGGCACTATTTTCCATTCCTAATATTATCAGAACCCACTTGCTTTGTATGAAATAAAACAAAAAGTTGGCCGCTATATAACTTAGCAACACTTACGTCCAATTAAGCTGTGATTAAAAATGGGAAAGCCAAATCATAATTGTAAGGGCTTTGCCAAAACATGAACTTGTATAGTTTATACATATATATTTTATGGAATAGGGGGCAGACGAGCAAACGAATCACCCGATGGTGAGTGATTACCGCCGCCCATGGGCATCTGTAAGACCAGAGGAGCTACAAGCGCGCTGCCGGCCTTTGAGGGACGAATATGTTCTACGCTTGAAAGTTTGAAGGTCGTATCGGTTCGGAAATACCGCTGGTGACAAACTGTTCCAGAGTTTGGTTGTGCAAGGTAGAAAACTTCTGGAAAAACGCACAGTTGAGGACTTCCAACCATCCAAATGATGGGCGTGGATTTCTTGTCGCGTGGAACGATGGCGGAAAGTAGCGGCAGGTATGAGTCCGAACAATTCTTCGGAGCATTCCCCGTAGTAAATGCGATAGAAGATGAACAGTGAAGCAACATCTCTACGCAGGGCTAGTGGATCAAGCCGACTTGAAGTGTCCCGGCAATCGACGATTCAAGTCGCTCTACGCTGAATGCGGTCTAGAGGGAGAAGCTGGTATTGGGGTGCCCCTGCCCAAAGATGAGAACAGTATTCCATATGGGGCCGAACCTGTGCCTCGTTAAGCTGCAGGCGATGCGCTGGAGTGAAATACTGCCTCGATCTATTAAGCACACCAAGCTTCTTAGATGCTAATTTAGCCTTATCCTCTAAGTGACCACGGTACTGGACCTCGCTCGATATGTCGACACCGAGAATCTCAATATTGGCTGAGGCAGTTAGGGGAATGTCTTGAAATCGAGGTAATACGACAAAGAGGGGCTTTTTTGGCGGTGAACGCGCAAACCTGTGTCTTAGTAGGATTGAAGTGGACTAAATTAAGTCGACCCCGGTTAGAGACTTCCTCTAACAAAGATTCAATATCAGACACAAGTTGATTTCGGCTCTCAATGATGCTTTCCCGAGAAATATTAGCACGACCGTTATAGGTGGAGTCCTCCGTGCTGTCATCCACCTAACAATGAATACCGCTAATTTGCAGCATGTCATTAATATGCAGAAGAAAAAGTGTGCAGAGGTGATAGCACTCTTCCTTGGCGAACACCACCATTTATAGACAGTAGGTCCGAGCATACACCGTCGATTTAAATTAAAAGATCCCCAGCAGAGCGACCACTACGAAATCCGTATTGATGGTCACTAAGCAACTAGCGATTCTCGAGGTACCGAAGGAGCTGGCGGTTGATAATGGACTCTATTGTCTTTAAAAGCAAGGGAGTTATAGCGATCGGCCTGTAGTTGGACGGGTTCGAGCGGTCGCCTTTTTTTGGAATCGGATGCAGTAAAGCAGTCTTCCACGAGGTTGGGACGACGCCAAATGAGTAAGAGAGCCGGAATAGGCGCGTTAAGACCAGTGCCAACTCTGGAGCGCACGTCCTTAGCACAATAGAGGGGATACCATCGGGCCCACTCGACTTAAAAGTTCATAAAATTCACAGTTATGTTCATTTTTATAGGAAAAATTAACATAAATGTGGGACACTTTAGTGTACTTTTAAAATAATCATTATAAACAGTTTTTGACGCACCAATCATCTTCCTGTGTTATTAGCACTAGATCGGATGCAATGAAATAGTCAGTGACAATTACGCCTCCTCTTATCGAACCAGTTTATTCTTACATTGTCACTCCCTCGGGATACTCTGTATGGATTTAAACAAGGAGAAAAAAAAGCAGCCATTGCTGAGTTTCTCCTCAGTATAAGGTCCTGGCGTAGATTTGCGAAGAGATGGCAAAGCTTTCGACATTTCACAGCCTATTCGGAATAAATGATATTGATCTGATCAATTTTACATTCGCAATGCTCTACTGAAAAATATTCTTAAAGAAAAATGCTTAGAAAATTCACTTTGTCGTTGGCACTCTGAGACGGAACTCGAACCCATGACCTTTCGCAATCCGAGCGATTACTTGATGGTTAGATATCTAAATATGTGTTAATATGTGTTATACTTATTTTTTCTAAATATATTTTTCTCTCAATAATTACATATGCACCTGCTTTTATCGTTTATTTTAATCTCCACATCACCCAAAGGTTGACTGGAAAAGAATGCCTAGGGCATTAAGTCCGCCTTTGTACGATTGTGCATAAAGAATAAAATAAAACAAATAAATACAGCGACGTAAAAGTAAAAAAATAAATAAATGAAGATTTTTATGTTGACGATTTAATATCCGGACTTGACTCTAAAAATAATTAATTCCATTATGCGACAAAGTAAAAACACGGTAGATTCCAGTTGTTTTTTTCGACACCGTTCTCTTTGCTTATTTTTTATATGAACGTTGCTTTTATTTCTAGGTTCTATACATCTATGTGTACAGCCAAACTTTTTATGTCTATAGTCTTAAGCGTCCTTTAGATTATTCCAAGTAACTTTAAATATTAAATATTTAATTTTTGTATATTATTCTCATAGATTTTTGACACTCCTATGATCCAAGATTATTCATTTGCCTATTTAGTGGGCTTTAAGTGCACGTTTAATAAAGGTTACCAATATTTTGTTACAAACAAAAGAGTCCTGAGTATTTTTACATTTGAATATGAAAACACACAAGTGGCTTAATAAAATCATAATGAAAAATAGTAATAATTTATGTTTTTAACGCAGAAAATAGAATTAAGGTACATAACAACAATGATGAAAAACTGACCGTATGGTTATAGATTCTTTTCATAGAAAGTGACATTATATAAGAGTTTATTTCACTACTCAAAGAGTGCTTAAACATATGAAAGCAACCGTTTTGATTACCTTAATATACGAACGTAACGTAACGAACATAATTCTCTCGAAAATATTGTCAATTTTCACTTTCAAATTGAATATACCAGTGTCTCTCGCAGTTTTCAAATACGTCCATCATAATAGGTTTATGACTTCAATGATTAAATTAATTCTATGTATCACTTATTGATCTAAAGCAAAGTAATCTGAACCAAGTTCTTATTTACTTAAAATATTAAAGTAGATTAATTAAATAAAATAAAAAAAATATTTTGCTAAGTTAAAGTTGGTAGTTATCCTAAACCAATAATGAATGAAAATATCATCAAAATCAGGAAGCTGAATACTGAGGATATCTCATGAGAAATATCCAAGTATAAACTCCTTCAAATAAACTCCTTAATCTAAGGCAAAATTTAAGGAAAGAGAAAGCCAGTCCGCAAAAGGATATTCTGGCTTATCCGTCAATGAGTATACACCACTGTTCCGAGCGGCAGTTTCAAGAGTGTGAGTAGTCTTAATGATCGCTAGCCTTCGTAAAAGATGGCATCATAGGAAATAGAATGATAATAATGCAAAGAATGGCTAGGATTGCAATTGATGATTTCCTTAAAGTTTGGAAAGTTGCAGTGTTTTAGATTCTGTAGTCAAAAAGCCACTCGGCTCATTGGCTGGCATTATCTTTTTTTTACATTTTTTTTTCATTAAATAAACATTAAAAATTAAGTATTTTTCGTAATTTGGTTTGCACCATGGTTCTATTGCGGTTACTAATAAACGATTAGAACTATTTTTTTACCCTACGGAATGCTACTTCTAGGCAAAACAGCTAGTAACTTATAAAAATAAATAAGACTCTTACCAGGTTTATATTCCGTAGAGATGTACAGCCATTATATGTATTATCTTTGATTCACTGTTGAACTTATGTAACCATATTTAACTGATTTATATTTAAAAAAATATTATGGAATAGATGGATTTTTATTTTTCAAAAGAACATTTTAACACCTATGGCCATCATTGTCTGTTTAGTACATCATTGTAATGAAGGAACATAATTTGAATATATAAATATGCATGTGAAATATTTTTCCATTTGTTGCTATACTATACAACCATATGCAAAACAAAACAAGCTTACCTACAACGATATTAGTAGGTAAGCCAGTGTATAAACGACCTCAAGAAAATAAAAAATGCAGTAAAATGTAAAAAAAAAATGTGAAGTGTAATTATAACCAAATCAAGTCTGTTGAGATAACATTAAAAATACTCAGTCTGAGTTGCAACATAATTGCAGTTAAAGTTAAGGTTTATGTAACTTAAAACATGTGAACATATGACCCGATAGGGCAAAACAATTTGGAACGACAGGCAGATATTAAAAATATATCAAATAGATCAGTCAGTTTGAGGATAGGCAAATAATACAAATATTTCAATTTATACATTACAATAGTAATATCTGTTAAATTTATAAATTACAGAATGTTATGTATGAAAAATATATATGTATGTTCGTGTCATTTAATTGTTGTGCAGTAAAGATTTTACTTACTTACTTAACTGCATTGTTAACTGACTGCGCAAAATTCTATTCTTAAAAAGTGGAAAAATTTCAATGTGTTTTTGCATCGAATTGGTACTAAAACCACTAAACCGATTAAAAAATTCGTTCATTTACGGGAAGCAACGTCATACTCGGGTGAAACACATTATAATTTACGCGGCTAGTTAAGAGTTAATTATAAAGGTACGCTTGTGGGGTACGGGCAGGTTGAAGGCAACACCGATAGGCGATAATCAAACTACTTTCTCGCTCTTTTTACTGCAGAGTCCGACGTCTTTAAGAGCTCGACTGCATTTCTCAATCAAAGGAAGACTCAAACAATACTGCATATGTGTTACGATCACTAGTTAGTTGCTAAGTTATCTTCAGGATTTTCCTGAGATCAAACGCTCGCTGTATGAGTTTCTGTCTGGCAGCTCAAGATAACAGGGTTAAAGTATGAAATTGCCGGTTTGTGCTGAAGATCAAAATTGTTAACTTTTTAATTTTTAACAAATTTATTTAATCATATTTTGATTAAATAAATTTGTTAAAAATTAAAAAGTTACCATTCATCATCTATACATTGCTGCCATTTAAAAGAAAGGTTATTTATGCCTTTGCGATAGAACTCTGGGGATCTAGACTGCACAAACTGTGTGATAGCATTTTGTACTGCCTCCTGGGAAGAATCTTTTTTTGTCACGTAGACAATCATCCAAATCACGAAAAGCATTTGTCCGTTGGAGCAAGGTCTGGTGAATAGAGAGGATGATGAATGGTTTCTAACTACAATTCTTGAAGGGTCAAAACAGTTTCTCGTGTTGTATGAGGTCTCACGTTGTCATGGAGCTGTAATTGTGAAGATCAATTGTTTTACTGCTAGTTTTGCCAACATTGTTCGGAGTTCGGCACAATAAACATCTGCCCTTATTGCTTGACCAGATCGGGGAAAACTATAGTGAATAACACCATGCTGAGACCACCAAACAGCTACCATTAACTTTTTATTGGTAAATTTTGGTTTAGGATACTGTTGTGGCGTTTGACCTGGGGTCAGCCATTGCATTTTCTTTTTACGGTTATCATAAAGAATCCACTTTTAATCACATGTCAGAATTCGATCAAATATTTCTTCATTTCTGTACCGATTCAACAAGGCAACACAAGTTTCAAGACGCGTTTCTTTCTGCAGATCAGTCAAATCATGAGGCACCCATCTTTTTTATTATTTTATTTTATTGATTTATTGATTTGACGCAAATGAGTCAATATTGTGTGTAAGATAACGCTAAACCCTGCCGCTAATTCCTGGGTAGTTTGACTTGGATCGGCTTCCACCGTCTCTCTTAATTCATCGTTATTCACCTGTGTGGGTTGTCTTCTTCTTGACTCGTTCTTCAATTCGAAGTTTCCATCACGAAAGCATTTAAACCAAAATCGCACAGTGCGTTTTAGCAGTGCGTACATTGCGGGCTGTTTTTGCCGCGTTACTTTCGCGTCGGAACTCGTATTCAAAAATCACTCGAATTTTCGCAATATCAAAAAATAAAAAAAACATTTGAAAGTCGATATTCAAATGTTTCACATTTTTAAAAGAAGAACATCATAGAAAGCACGTGAAAAAAGTTTCTTTTGAAAACCTCAAACCATGAAGATTCTACGTCAATTCAAGGAACCTATTACAATAAAATGGCGATTAACCCTTAATACGTTTTCCCTAACAATGAATGATTCAACTTGATGTGCATGAGCGTTGCGATGGGCATTCAAATACGGTTCGCGCTTGTCAAGTATCTCCTGTGACCGAGCGCTTTCTGTCCGATCTCTCTGAGAGCTCAAGCGACTTTGTTTGTCAATAAAAGTCTTAAGGTCGACAGACATGCCGCCACGTATATTTCGTCAGACATGCGCGTCTTATTTTTCACAGAACGTCAGAGAACCAAAAAAAAAATATATTGAATTCGACCTTGCACACTCGACGGAAATCGTGTACTAATATAAATTTCTGTGAGGTGCTTGACTGAACTCTATCAATTTTGCAACGACCCTCAGACTCATGTAATATTGCATGAGCCTCATGACCGGTGAATAGACCTGTATCTCCAGTGAAGACTGCAAACTTTAAATAAAGTGATTGGAATCTAAAAAAACAAAAAGAGTAACAAAAACTATTAAGAGGAAAAAAAAGATATAACTCGAGTTGTCTTTACTCATTCGAGAACGGTGTAAACTCAGTTTATATTCATACTGAGCTAAAGTTTCTGTAGGGCGTAATCTGGCGTAAAAATTTCCTACGTCTCATTGCAGGGTCTCTAAAGAATCTAGTCCTTTGTAATGCCCCACACCATGGGGAAGACGAATAATATATTATCCCCATTTCCCCATATCACAAGTCGCCAATATGATCATTCACCGAGTTTACTCAAACAATATCTATTACTTATGTAACAAACAAGCTTAGTTGGCCGGCGTGAGTCATGCACTGCGCAAGATTTCAGGGAATTGCATTTTACGTTTTATTTATCAGCACTATTAAAACAAGTTACACAACTACTATTAATAAGGTACAAAGATAATTATACTTCATATCTCTTGCGAAGATGATTAGGGTTTACATGCACTAGTACACGAGATGCTGCCGTCTTCACCGTAGTTCAAAAGTTATTTTTATAAATTTTATCTAAGAAAAAAAAAATTTTTTTTTTGTGTGTCCACATTTCACGCTCCCGCGCAGACCCCCGCCTTTCACCTGTCATTACTGTTTTGGTTTCGTCCAAACCACACGTATTTTTCCTCATGCTATTGATATAATATGGCTAAATTATAGGTCTATACTATTAATATTATATTATAATAATCAACTACATCTATAATTAACATTTAACTATATCACGACGTAAATCGTGTGTGGATAGACAACGACGTCATTGAGTACGTATCTCTACTTCACAAACTTTGTCGTACCTACTTATCAAGTACAACTACAATTTAAATATTGTATATCAGGAGAATTTAAATATGTAAATGTTAATGAGGTCATTGTGTATGTACCTATATTTCACAAATTTTATAGAACTGATCGCCTACAACTACAATTTACATTTTAGTAATCCCGAAGTTAATCTTGTGTGGATAGATAATGAGGTCATCGAGTATGTACCTCTACTTCACCGATTTTGTCGTACTAATCGACTATAAATTATCTCGATCTACAATTTAAACTATATCCCGACGTAAATTGTTTGTGGATAGACAAAGATATCATCGAGTATGTACCTACTTCATCAATTTTGTCGCACTGAGAGACAACAATTTATCTCAAAATATATCGTGTAGCAAAGATAAAGATAGATAATTTATTGCGTCATGTGGTAACAAAGGTCTTTAACCTAAACAGGAACCTCTTAGAGGTATTTCACTTATACACTAATCAAAATTTAAATCGGTACAAATATTATGTGTTTATAATATAATATATCTGGCTATATGGCAAACTTGCATAATTATGTTGAAATTATTGTTGTAATAAATTATGTTATTTCTAGTCCATCCGAGTGGATAGTATTGGATAGTGAATAGTACTTAGTACGAAATCTAAATTAAATTTAGATTCACATTCAGATTATGTATGATCACCTAAACATCTGAAAAAATTAAATACTTTTTTAACAATTCAGGCACGATGAGCCTTTTAAAAAGTGCTTTTACTTAATAGCTAGGCATATGAAAATATAAGAAACACGAGAATCGTGAAACGATATCTAACAAAAATTGTACCTATGTGGAAGTACAAAAATCAAATAGTGAGTTGTGTAACAGATTTTGGCAATTAAAATATATAAGAATAAAATTAATACGTTAGTGATAATAGTCGCTTTATCTGCAAAACCCATTTTAATGGCTTTAATTTGCCATTATTAAACTAAAAGAAACAAGAAAAAATACTAATTTCCCTCTATAAAGCCAGCATAAAAGAAATACGAATCGTCGGAGGTATATCTAATTACGTGGATATTTTTACTTTAAACCCCAGCGGGGCGTCGCATGCAGCGGTTGCCACAGCTGGGAATTCATTATTCCCTGCAATTCCCAGTGATACCACTGCAGCCGCCGCTGTCCGCCGTCACCGCCACGCAGTTACGCGGCGCAGGACCGCGTGACCGGGTATTCAATTTACCATTGACTTTACCATAAGATAGATAATTCTATCTCTTCTCTCCATACAGATCTCAACCTGATGTCAAAGTTATTATCAGGCAAGCATCATTAGCGAGAGGCATTTAAGTGGCTTCACTTGATATGTACAGTCATCAAATATATTAAATCACTTCAGTTCATTATTTTTAAAACCATTATGACGATATTGTAATGAGAAAAATATTGTTTGCCGTAATGCTTGTTAAGATCATTTAAAAAAAAATTTAACATCAAAATTTCGAATTTCAACAATGTCTATATTGTCTTCTCATGATCC